AAGAAAGAAAGAAAGAAAGAAAGAAAGAAAGAAAGAAAGAAAGAAAGGGAAAAAGAGGGTGCTGGAAAGTGGAAAGCCCTGGGTGAAAGAAGACTCCTCACCCTGGGTTCAGGGTTATCTTAACCTCTTCTCCGCTATTTATTTAACTTGTATGTACAGCCAAAAGGAAGCCACTACTCTGGGGTCCCTGGGACAGCTTAAGTCCCTGGTGACCCACTTAACACAGTAGATTGTTTTAATCAACTCGTGTCCTGGCACCATCTCGAAGGGGAACATAAACAGACGCGCACACCGCTTGGATCTGCTCTTTCCAGCGGGAGATCCAATTACCTACCGATGGTCGCCTCTCTGCCCTTGTAACATTTAAGAAGAGATTTTTAACCCCTAACTTCGAGGCTATATTTCTGTCTAAAAGAGGAGAAAGCGCACCCAGATTTGACTGGGGAGCCAGCTCTGGGCGCGCTGGAAGGGCTTCACTGGAGAGGCTCCTGTCTGCCCCCTGCCTCGCCCGGGGGGCCATCACCAGAGCCCTGCGCGGGGAAACGCCAGGCTGGGGCGCCCCCAAGGCAGAGCTGGGATCCGAAGACAATGCCAAGCCAGAGCGGTGGCGCGTCTGTTCTTCCTAAGCCAGAAATCTACAAGTAACTCCGGCCGGCAAGGTGACGGCCCCGACACCCCACCGCCCGCCTGCCTTGCTCCGTGAGCTGCAGAGGGGTCAGCAAAGTGGCGGGGGAGGACGAGGGATGACCTGGGCGTCCAAGCCCGGGGACCAGCCTCCCTCCGCCAGTCCCGCCTAGTCCGTCTCTAGGAAGGCGCGGCGAGGTGAGGCAGGGGCTTCTCGGACACAAATTAAAGGGTACCCGCACAAGTGGGACCCGGCAAGTTGTCACTGCCCATTGCCCGGACGTCCGCGGTTCAGCCGAGAAGCGCATGGGGCAGGGAGAAGCCTAGAAGAGGAAACAGCGCGCACGAGCGCGCAGTGTGTGCGGTGTTTGCTGTGTGAGCACCGCGGGCTCGCGGGACTAGGCGTCCGGGACCGCGCACCTCACTTCAGCTGTCCAGTTACCTGACCCTTGGGTTTCCGCCACGGCGGAACTCCGCAGCTCCGCTGTTGCATGAGTCTCCATCTTGGGGAGAGGCAAATGCATCGCTGATTCTCAGGATCCACCACCTCACGGCAGGATCACTCACGGCCCTCCGACGTGCGCGCCCCGAAAGTCCCCAGACCCAGCGCCCCGCCTCAAACAAATGGGACCCTCTCATTGCAACCTGCCCCGGCGTTTGCGGTCGAGCTGAAGGTCCCCGCAGCGCCTCACTGCTCCCGCTCGCTCATTATCCCTCTGCTCCTGCGCTCTGGACTCACGGACTCTGCGCCCTCACCCAGCGGACGCGACTGGCAAGCGCGGCTGCCAAACACACCAGAAGCGTTATTAGCGGAGCTCCGGGAGGTGGAACTGGGATGCGGGGCTCTTGCTCTTGACATCCTCTTTCCCAGTCTTGCCCTGCAGACCGCGCAAGGTGAGGTCATGGCAGCCAAGACCTTGGCACGAAAGACCCCGCGATGGTTCTTCAGGGTTCACCCCAGGGATCGCGGGGCCTCGGCCTGCGCTCACGAAGGGCTACGGCAAGTCTGCACGGAGCGGGACGCGGCAGTCGTTTGCCGACCCCTACACACACACACACACACACACACACACACACACACACAAACGTCCGCGCCTCCGCGCTCACCTGTCAGTGCTGCGGGCCTTCGGGGCCTGCGCTCTCGACGCGTGGCGCGGTGTGCGGCCGCGGCACGAGCCGCCCGGGCTCGGCGCGGGGTCAGCGGGACAGAGAGCACCGCTCTTGCTGCACACTAGGTCGCCCGGTCCGCGGAGGGCGCACCGAGTGCGGGGCATCGCACCGTCTCCCGTTTAAATGCCGGCGGCGGAGCGCGGCGCCCGGGGCCGCGCCTCTCCATTGGCCAGGCGCCGCCGCCGCCGCGGGACCCGCTATCCGCCCCCTTTCCCGGTACTGCCCCCGCCCCCCGCACCCCTCCTGCCTCCCCGCGGGGTCCCCTCTCCGCCTGCCTCGCCTCTTTGTCTGCTCCCCCCGCCCAGGCCGGCTGGGAGAGGTCACCCCAGGGAACCGCGCCTGGAATGCACAGCAAATCACATTTTCCGCTCCCGTTGGAGGGGGAAGCGCGGGAGGAAATCCCCCCGGCTCCCGGCCCCTCATTCCTCCTCTGCCCCAGGCCTGGGCTTTTCCTCTCGCCGGCTCCGCTCCGCCTGCGTCGGCCCCGCGACGCTCTCGGTCCCGGAGACTGCCCCGGGAAGAGCAAGACCTCCGTGGGATCGCGACCAATTAGGCGATCCTTTCCCCGTGGACGGAGCGCGACTGCAAGGCGCTCTGGTTGAGCGGTCGCCGCGGCTCTGGTGCGGCTCCGCCCGAGGCCCCCAACTTCGAGGGCGCTGACCCCTGCGCCCCCGTTAACCCCGGCGGGCTCGCCGGCCGCCAGCAGGAGCCTGTCGCCAATATGACACCCTCCTCTCCTCGCCCGCCACGGGTTCTTTCAGCCCAGATGCCGGCGGCCTCGGGTGTGAGTGTACAGGAGGGAGTAACGAGGGGCAGAATAAACCTAAAAGGACCCTAAAAAATCTAAGATGGAAAATCAAGCCTTTCATTCCTGAGCCATTTTTAAAAGGGAGAGAACAGTCGCTAGGAGAGAAGAGGTTTTCCGTAGCATGTTAAAGTTTAATAAATCAAGAAAATAAAACCTCAGACGAGGAAATAACTTCCCAGAAATGGAAGACAAAAACTTACGTATGTGAAAAACCCATGTCACATTCTGTGTTCATTCCTGAGAACCCGATAAGAGTGGGAACATACCAAGCGCAGAAATATTTTTGAGAGATGAGCGAACACTTTTCATTTGTTCTCTTAGCTTGGAAATTGGTTCCTCAAAGAGGCTGTAAAGTTTTGTGTGTGGAAGTTAGAGCCCGTGCAAAAACCAACTCGGCTGCAAGGTCTGCAGACCAGCTCCATCAGCGAGGTCAGATGATGACTTTGAAAATCATCTGTTACAGAAGGAGATTTGAAGGTGTTTGTACTGACTACAACAAAATAAACAAGGCAATGAAAGCCATCCAAAGGCACTTATGAGACATTCGTGATTTCAGTATTTGGCTTAAGAAAACAAAACAAAACCCCCAAACAGTGTGGTTTTTTGTTTTGTTTTTGTTTTTCTCTCTAGGCAGGCATTAGGGGGAGGGGGCTAGAAACATTGAACTTCTACTAGATACTGCTAGGAACTTGAAATCGATTTTTCCAAATAAATCAAGCAAGAAGGAAGTCTGCATTAAATCAATATCTAGAGAATCTTCATCATCTGAATGTTTTGTTTGTGCAAACAGCGGTTTCTATCCATGAACTCAGTGCTGCACTTTCAATGTTTTCGATAATTTTTTGTTAAATCATCCCGTGAGCCATAGTTTGTAGTTGCCTGCGAGATGCAAACATTCAGTAGGGCTCAAAAGACTTATCTTGGTCAAGTGGGCTGCAGGAGAGATACACAGTCAGAAATACACAAAATACTTACGCAATTAACAGCCCAGCCAAGGTGCACCACCAAGTCCTAGGAGCCAGCTGTTCTCTCCCTGTGTAAACTATTCCGCCAAAGAAAAGGAAGCATATTTTACAAATTCGTTAACTTCTTCTAATCTAAAATCAATGCTTTAGTCATGTTTTTTTCCAAAACTCATATGAACTGCTCCAAATAAAAATACAAAGAGACAAGCGCTTACCTCCTATATCGGAAGTAATTGTTTAAGAGCTCCGACCCTGTGGTTTTATATGTCCCATCTTTTTCTCACCATCTCTATCTAGTAAATGTTGTTCATCTTTAGGATCCCTCCTCAGGAGGCTTCTCAGACCACACTCCCTACAGTAGAAACATCCCGACCCCCATCCCACCAGCCCACAGCTCTCTGCCCCATTTCACTGCATCTTTTTTCTTCATTGTCACTTATCTCTCCCTGCCACTAGAATGTAAGCTTCATGAGGGTGGGCACTTTGTCAATGTTGGTCACTTTGATTACACGAGTATATAGAATACAGAGTATCTAACACAGAATTGGGATTCAATAACTAGCTGTAGATTGGAAATATTCAGCACATGCTCACTCGGTAAGATTATCAGCTGAGCCAATGTTGAGGATATAACCATCATGCAGATGGTAAAGACAGGCCCTCATCTCGCCGTTTATAGTCTAGTATGTTGGTAAATATTTATCAAGTTTTCTGCCTCACATTTGTGTTTCCACAGCTGTCAACCAGTCATTGCAAACCATTATCCACTCAGAATGAAGGCATAAGAGTAAAAACTCTTCAGACCTCTTTAACCATAATTACATAATTGAAACCTGCTCTTAGTAAGAGGGAAGAAGTAGAATGACTCCACGTAGGCAAACTTAAAATCTGAAATCTGAGATGCCTAAACAATAATTACTAAATGATAAATTTCACTTACGGAAACCACTTTCAAATTAATTTGAGGCTCTTGTGAGAAGCGTTGATGCTACTGGCTTGTAAAAGGAAAGTCCATTTCTCTTGTTTTGCTCTCCTATCTAAACATAAAAAGTGTTTCTCTCCATCTAACTCACAAGATGCTAAAAGGGGGCTACTCTAAAGATCTGGAGAAGAAATTTGAAGGCCTTTGTAGGGAAGTTTTCTCTTAGATCTGCAAAAGCTATTTATGCCCGTTCCCTCAATTGCAGAGACCGTGTATGCCGTCTTGCATTGACCTAAAAAAAGAATAAAGATCTTTACCCATTTGGAACTGATCTTGTATGGCCCTCTTTAAAAAAACAAAAGTGATAATGAACTTGACAATGATTAAAAAAAGATATTTGCAATGGTCAAATAACAGTTAAATGATTTGTATCCAAAATGGATTCCTCTTATAAATTAACAAGAAAAAAACTCCACAAATAACTGTAGGAGTTGGCAAAGCACATGACCAGGCATTTCACAAAAGAAGAAACCTGAATAGCCAATGAACGTGAAAAGGTGCTAGATTATATTAGTAAATAGTGAAATGCAAACAGAAATAAGAAGGTACGCTTGCTTATCAAGCAGAGGAGCAAAGATTTAAGTCTGTCCGTACCTAGCATTGAAAAGAGTATGGAGAAGCAGGTAATTAAATGCATTGACAATGAGACTGTAGATTGGTACAACCATTTCAGAGAGTAATTTTTCAAAATGTGATAAAATTAAACATGTACCTAGTATACCATCCAGCCATTCCACTTCTAGGCAAAACACCTTAGAAGAATCTGAGCACGTGGATGAAGGATAGAAACTTGTGTGAGCACTTCTACTGTGGTTTGTTTATAACAGTCTTAGTTCCAATTAACAGGAGTAGGAGAAGGCATAAGAAATCATTTTATTTATATAATAAAATGCTATACAGTTACTAACAGGAATGGACTAGAGTCTTCTGTTTCAACACACAGCTCAAAAACTTAGTGATATTTGCAAAAATAAAAGCAAGTTGTAAAATGATACAAGCAGTATGACACCATTATGTATATTTTATAATAAACATATAAAACAATAGTATAAATTGTTTATGGAAACATATGTGTTCATGTAAACATATAAATAGTGGATTGGAAACCAGACCCTTGATGGTGCCCACCAGAATCGAGTAGGGGATGGGGTTGTACTGGGGATAGAAGACAAAAGAGATTGTAATTTTATAATGTTTTTGAAAATTTTATTTCTTAAAAAATCTCGAAACTAATATGACAAAATGTTGACAACTTTCATCTCTGGGTGGGGGTATGTGGATATCTGTTAGATTATTCTCTTTACATTTTGGTTATTTTTAAAATTTTCTCAAAGTTAAAAGAAAAAAGGATCTGATCTTTCTATCATGATTTCAAGAGCGACTTTGATGCTCATTTGGGCGCTGAGGATTTTTCCTTCCTGCGTGTCCTCTGTAACCAGCTCTAATCAAGGTAGGCAGGCTTTCAGAACACATACAAGCCCTTACTGGGGTCTGTATGTCTGCAGATCTGTCTAAGGGTCAACTCCTGACTAGTCACCTTGCTCTTTACACATAAGCAGTAGAACGTTTACCCGTTGTCTGTATATAAAAACATGCGTTTGAAAGTTCTGAACAATGCTGCCAAATGCAAGCATATGAAAAGGCTGAAGCATGCAAATTTCAATACAGTTTGGATCTAATTCTACACAAGTATTTATTGTGCACATTACATGTGCAGTGCAGTATATAAAAGACGAAAGCATAAAAGTCCTTCCCAGCCAATATGCAGGCACGGTGGAAAACACACTGAACTGGGAATCAGAAAAATCAGAATGTCCTGACTCCTCCTCATAGGAACCGAGTGCCCCTGGGTTAGATATTTAAACCCTCTACCTAAATTCAATCATCTGTGTTACAAGAATGGGAATAATACCTACCTCTGGGTGGATGATGGAACTAAGTAAAATAAGCTCCATGAAAGTGCCAGACATGTAACAGACACGTAATAAACGTGTCTGTATGGATGTTAGAGTTCAATTGGGAG